ATTTAGATATTTCATCAGAAACTGAAATGCCAGAAACTGTTGATCCGTTCCAAAATTTATTTATAAAACCCAAAGTAAATGAGTTACAAACATTCTTTGATCATCGTCCTTTTCAAACAGTATCCAACGAAAAAAAAATTCCTTTCAAACCAAAAAAAGTATTTTTTCAAGATGATGGATGTAACAGAAAATGACTTTCTTATAACAATAAAAATAAAACATTTTTTTGTTCAATATATTTAGCTTTTAGTAGTGTAAATGATAAAAACACATTTTTATCGGGTATGTTGGATTTTAAATATATTTATTCAAGGATCGACGAACACGAAAAAAACAAAAAACATTTGAACTCTTCTGAGTTTTGTTATATAATAAAAATAGAAATATTCAATCATTATTAAACACACTAAACAAGACCAAATTTCTAAAAGAGCTGAAAAAAATTTTAAAAGAAAATCTGTCTTTGAAAGGATTAATAGATGTAATAAGATTGATTGAACGTCGTGGTTTCAGTTATAGAGGAAAATATGAAGGAATAAATCATTTATCATTTAATACATGTTAATTTCTTAAATATATTAATTCTACTAAAAAAATATGATGCCTTTTTAAGCAGTCATATACAAGCAATTATCAAAAATCTGAAAAAAGTACTTAATCTGGCCGAAGTCAAAATCTAAAACTACTATCTAAAATAACTGTAAACTACATTTTTATTGCATTCTCAAAACTTCTTAAAGATCACATCAGTACTAAAGTTAATAATGATAGAATTTTCAAATCGATGCTAATCAAGACGTTACAGTATCAAATTTTTGTTCCGTTAAAATTCGTTATGTTTCAATAGAACCTATACCAAAAGTAAATGAACATGTATTATCCATTTTGAGCGCAAAATAATCAACCAATAAAGCACTATTTAAATTAGGCGAAAATATCTTATTAAAAAACAACATCTATGTGAAAATATGTGTTGGTAGTTCAACAGAAGGAGCTTCAAACATGAGGGGTCAATATCAAGGTTTTTCTGTATGGTTCACAATAAAATCATATAAACAACTTCACGTTTGGTGCTATTTATATAAACTTAACTTAGTGTTAATAGATATTGCATCTATAACATCTCAATCAATTTCATTATTTGATCTATTGAATACATGCTCTGTTTTTTTTTCGAGAATCTTATAAAATAATGGATGTTTGGTGATATGTTTTTACAGATAGTTGTGTTTTGAACTTAATAGGTGAAATGAGGTGGCAAAAGATGTCGCTTTGAAAAAATATTTTGGTGTATTTAATGATCCTTCAAGTTCATTATTTGCTATTATTATTCAAGCTTTTCAAATTATTGTTCAAAACACTGAACATTTTAATAATGATGCAAGGTATAAATATACTACTTATTTAAACAGTTTAACCAACTTTGAAACTATAATTACTGCTACACTATTTCTAAAAATATTTCAAAGCACAACGCCATTTTCTAAATACTTACAAACTAGTGGAATGTGCATTTTGTAAGCAATATCAATGATTGATACAACTTTAAAAACACTGAAAATTGAATTCAGAAATTTTGAAAACATTTATGAGACTGCTTTAAAATTCATTAGTTGGACCAACAAAAACTTAGAAAAGCAAAATATTGATTTCGAAGTCCGATAATCATTTTATGAAGTACACATAAAATAAAAAATAAAAAAATATTTGATGAAAAATCGGTTTATAATATTAGTCAGTGTTGGATTAAACATTTGTGGGCTCCTAGGCAATTAAAATTTTGGGCCCTAAAAAAATATTTTTATAACATCTGTATGTAACATTACTATCCAATAATTAAAATAAACAACTTTAATAATAACCGACTATTATTGATAAATAAAATTGTGTTTATTACATATTTTTATTCCCAAGAAAAATAAATTTATTATTATATTATTTCTATTTTTTTTTCAAAATTATTTATTATTATTACTGCATATAACACCTACAACTTAATGTATATTATATTTCATAATGACTTTTTTCCCGTATATTTGAAATTAAATACGGGTATTATTGAATAAAAAAAAATAAAGTTTTCCGTTTTCACAGGGCTCCTTAAATGAGTGAAGCCCTAAGGTGGGCGCCTACTCCACCTAATAAGTAATCCGGCACTGATTATAGTTGATCCAGTAGATACATTTAAAATCAATGTATTTAATACAACTATGGATAATGTAATAAATAATATTGAATATTGCTTCAAGGATGAAAACGAGTTACCAACAGATTTCTCGTATTTAGATCCAAAATATTTTAAACAAATTACATTTTTGCCCAAATCAGCTTTTGAAAAATTATTTAATTCGTTAAATTCTTTTAAAAATGGCCCAAACACTTTTAAAATCAAAGCTACAGAACTGAGAGAAGAATTACTAGACTTTTAAAAAAAAAAATATGGCTAAAACTTAGATACTCGTTTAATGATGAAATTAAGAACTTAAATAAAACACAAATTCAATATTACATGGAAGAATCTAAAAGTGAAGAAGAAGAAAAAAAGGAAAACCATTTTGATATTGACCAACCATGCAATGATAAAAAAAAAAATAAACTTTGTTTTAACTGCATTTTTTAGTACACTATAAACTATATTCAAATGCATATTATAATTTATAGCTTATAAGTATATTTGAAACTTATCTTCAACTCAAGTTGCATGTGAAAGAAACTTTTCTACGTTAAAGTACATAAAAATACGTTTAAGGAACCATTTAACTGACGACCATTTGGAGACTATGATGTTAATGCATACGAATATAATAATAATGTAATAATAATATAATATAATACGACATATTAGACAATATGCAAACAAAATGTGTTCTGTTCATCATTATGGAAGTTGCAAATCAGTCTTCAATTTTAATGAAAGCTCTGTTAACGTAATTAAAATATTTATATTGTAAACTTTAAATAATAAAATATTTAATATATTTGTATAATAAGTACCTATAATAATAATACTACTGCTATTACTACAATTTACTTTCATTTTTATTTTATTAGTTTGATTACCTCCAAATCATTTTTCCTTGTAATAAATTATTATAATTTGAAGGGCCCTCTTAGTGATTGATTTCCCGGGCCCTTTAACAAGACTAGTCCGACTGGTTCCATAACCATAAATTGCTTTCATGATATATCAAAATGAAGTGATGACGAATGAAAAGTCTATTACGTGTATGTTTTAAAAAAATAATTTGTTTAAAAGCTACTCAACCAACGCGTGATGACTGAACGGGGTATTTTCTTGTTTCCATTACCTTCTAGTATATATACGAGTATGAAAAGGTGTATGACCGCTTAGTGGTGAGTGTTGACATCACCGGTGGTTGTTTACTTTTACTTATATAGCTAGATATAGCAATAACGTCTTAAATCTGAATATTATCGAAAATAATCTATAATATATATAGATCGCACTTCAAGTGTGGTTAACATTTATCTGATACTAGTTGTAAATGTCAACTATCACCGGTGTATGACCGCATAAGGTCTATTTTGACAATATTAAATAAAATGTTTGGTGTACCTATGTTGACATACGAGTACAATGGTGACTGTCAACATTTGCTGACTCCAGTCAGATACCGAAACATTTACAATTTGAATATATACGTGTATAAACTGTGGTGGCTTAGAAAAGCAGATGGGGATCATACCTCTCTAAACCTGAAGTTTTCTAGAAAAATTATACTAATCGATAATCAGTAAAAAATTATTTAATTAATTAAGATTCTATTGATGTATGTGTTAACATGTACGGAAATAAATAAGATGGCAGTTTTCGAAATGTACGTTCATTATAGTATATTTTGACGCATTTAATTTATAGTGTACATAGTTGGTTTTTTAAATTTTAATAAATATTTTCGATATGTATAAATATCTTACCACCCTCTAAGAGAGAATTAAGAACTATATTATTGCAACTGTACCTTCATCCGATATATGAAGAAAAAAAAGAGATGTCACCATTTATTAATAACTAATGATAACTTTATGTATACCATTTTGATATGATTACATTTATTTTTTGTAATATGATACATAATGTTTTGAAAATTGTAATTTATTATAATGGAAATTATAGATACATTTTCAGAAAAATCATTCGCAATAATCAAAAACCGAGATATATTTTGAATTTAATTGTTTTATTGTGACTTGTGGTTAGATTTTAAGAAATCTATGATACCAACATCTTAAACTTATTTATGATCCAATCGTTATGTTACTTACCATATCAACAATAATTAGACTATTGACTTCAAAATAAAATAATAATAATATATTAATTTTACCATAGAAGAAAAATTAAAATACTGCTGTGATACTAATGTATATTTTTGAGATACGGCATCGTATAAATAAAAAGTCGATTTTTTATAGTACCTAATTATAAAATATTATTTTGTTTAAGTAAGATTATAAATTTTAATCTTGCATTCGAATTTCCTGTTCCGTGTATAATTTTAATCCTAATTGATGCGTTCAATATATTTAAACAAGATTACATGTCTCGGTGTAAGAATTTCGCGAAAAGATATCACGTAAGGTCAACAAACACTCTAACAGGTGATGTTCAGAAAATAATTTAAATTTGATAAATGGTCCTGCTCCTGTAGGAATACTAATCCTGGCAGTCAACAAGTCGGCAATAAACTGCTCGAATATTTTCGGTCAGTAAGAATATCAAAGCCATACTTGATATTATATAAAAATAAAAAAACTCTAGGTATGCATTATTAATATTTGTTCGGAAGAATTAAGTATTCGTATTTGTTTAAGTATAAGTATGATTTGTCACTTATAAGTTTCATGTGTGTTCCGATTTTTTAATCTAAGACTGCTGGGGAGGGGAGGTAAGCCCTACTGCCTCTCTTTAAATCCGCCGCCACTGCGAATGGGCTGCGTTATACATAGAATATAAAAACGATGTGATGTTTGCGTACCATTCGAGACTGAGGTAGTTTTCGCCGCAGCAGTGGAGCTTCTTGAACGAGTTCAGAGGCCCATACTCAGAGGCGCTCAGCTCCTTGGTGAATTGAACGCCGGGGGATGACGACGAGAGGTGCAACTTGCCAGCCGCATGGAACAGGTTGTCGTCGCAGTACGTGGCCGAACCACCGCGGACGATCACGGCCGCAGCCACGACCAGCAGTAACAGCATCAGCATCGGATCGCTGGGTGGAAACGTAGGGGTGGTCGTGCGAAAAAAAATCACGCGGCCATCGCGTTGACGGTTTTCGTGCGCGCGCGGGCGCGTTCTCGTACTTATGATGAATATATATATCGCTGTTATCAATAGAACCTCCGTGGACAAGAACCGTTCTCGGGAAACAGATTGAAGACGGACGACGGCGACAACGGAGCGCACGACGACCAGCACAGCGACGACGAGCCAGCGACTGTCGGAGTGATGGTCTGATCGTCAGCAACGCACGCTGGAACCGCTCGTCGCTCCCGTTCGCCATCGTAACCGGTCGAGAAGAGGCGGGAATCAGGCGGCGCGGAAACGTGGACGCGCGCGCACCGTCGCCGCTGTCGACAACGATGACGAAGACGACGACCACCCAACGACCGTCATGAAAACGCACTCGCGCGTATTCTTACCGAGAAACCAGCAACCCGCCGTCGTCCGCCACGCTCGTCAAAGGGTCTTTTAGAACCGCGCTCGCATTATTATTTTTGCTGTACACACCTACAGGGGAATAACTATAACTTGCTCACCTGGTGCCGATCTAGAAGCGGCAATCACCCTCCTCCTTTCTAGAAATAACAAAAAAAAAAAAAAACATTCGATTTCAGGGTTTTTTACACGTTTTAGATGTACCAGCCTCGGCATAAAACATATATTTGAAATTCATTATAAATTGTTTATTAACTATTGTTAATTTTATATAAATTATTTATTAATATTTTATATAAATTATTGATCACAATCATTCAGTATATTTCAAGTCGTTGTACAAACCGGGTCCCGTGTAATCTTAAATGCGCACTCATAGAATATTAAAAACCACCCTCACTCCTCCTCTATGTTGATTTTAACCCGTCCCTGGCTATTTCGTAATGCGTAAAGATATGGACACGCGACGGACGAAAAGCGTTGCACGCCAAGTTTTTGAAAAAAAATAAGCACCTCATTATACTTCATCGACCATTCCTCACCCGGAGCACGTCGGAGAAACATCTGATAAATATTTTTATATTATTTTCCGCTGCCACGCCATTTTCGTTGGCAGGCGAACTTTCTCGGAACTGTTAAGTTCAAGATACCTACGCTATTTACGAACAATCGATGGATTACACTCTCTGCTTGATACGACGGTAAGAAAACATTTTTTTCCGCTTCTCCTGCAGAGACACGGTAAAATAAAATAAAATATTTTATTATTTGTTTCAAACACACGTATTGTTATTCCGATCGATTATCAACAGTTGTTGCTCGTAGTACGTGCACCTAGTTGTTTTTTCGTGGTATAAGTAACGTAATTAATTTTAACCATGGGTTTGAATAAGTTGAATAAAATCCTATCGCAGACAACACAATCCTGACCGTCGCTGCATGCGTAAAATATAATTTTATACATTGTATAAACCGATATTCCAATTTAGTTTGGAAAATCTCGTCTAACTAAGATTGTAATATATGCCGTCTATATCATAATATTTTGTTCTCACTAACTCGTATGTACGAGTTATATACTATCTAATGCGAATACCAATTGTTTGATAGATGCTGGATTGTGCATATGCATCCAAGGAATCACGTCGATTCATTGTCAATGGATCTATCATGCATCAGTTCACCGCTGTCAATTGAACAACAATATTTCCTCGTGGTTTGTATTCATCGTGTGTTGATTTATCATATATTTTATAACATATTTGTTAAATACTTCTATTCATATATGATAATTATACCATACATAATATTGTCCAAATATTATCTCTCATTGTATTATATCGTGTTTGCGAAATTTTTTTTTTTTTTTT